AGATCTCCGTTTCTCCTCCCTCTCTCGGTCATTCTGTCTTTCGAATGAATGAATGAATGAATGAATGAATGAAGTATACATAGCTCACACTTTGGGAGGCTGAAACCCTAGGGTCAGGCAGCCCCATCTGGTGGGCTTCTGGTGACGGCCACTCTGGCCGGGCCAGCACACATCGGAGAAGTGGGAAGAAAGAATCCACACGCAGACGAAGCAAGCAGAGCGAGCAACCCCGCTTTGTTAACAACCCATTCTTGTGAGGACTGCATGAATGGCTCCCGAAGGCAGACCCCAGCTGCTTACATCCGCCCACGGGGACCAAGCTTCTGGCACACGCGGCCTGAGGGATACACTCCAACCACAGCCACACACAGCACCAGCACACGCTACCAGCTCTCCGAGCTCTGCACACCACCTGCCTTCCTTGCAGGTCGATGCTGTACCGGTGTCTGGGCGGCTGGGTCTCTGAGCTTTGCTGCAGAGTGGACACGGTGTTCACTCACGCACTGTTGGCAAGAGTGGCACAGATCTGAACGATGACACACATTCACCCCACCAGGAGCTGAATGTGGCACACTGCAGCGTGACTGGCACAGGCTTGGGGGGAAACACAATTCACAGGTGGCACAGGTCGTGTGGTTACATCTTTTTAAAAGGGAACTGGAAACACCAAAATAAGCTTAGGTTTTGATTACATTTTTGTGATTTTTTTTTTTTAAAAAAAGGCTTATTTATTGATTTAAAAGGCCGAATGACAGAGAGAGAAGGAGACAGAGAGAGAGAGAGAGTTCCTATTCGCTGGTTCACTCTCCAAGTGGCTAGAACTGGGCCAGACTGAAAGCCAGGAGCCAGGAGCCTCTTCCAGGTCTCCCTCCTGGGTGCAGAGGTCCAAGCATTTGGGACGTCCTTCCTGCACTGCTTCTCTAAGTGCATCAGCACCGAGCTGGATGGGAAGAGGAGCAGCCGGGACGTGAACCGGTACCCATACGGGATCCCAGCGCATGCAAGGCGAGGACTTTAGCCACTAGGCTACCGTGCCAGGCCCAAACAAGTAAATCTCTAAAAAAGGAAGTGAAAAAGTGAACCAAGCACAGGAAGCCTGACATGCAAGCAGGGCAAGCAGCTTATAGGGTTCCCCCTTGCCTCCTCTTTCCACCCCCCATCCCCGCACGGCTTCCCTGCCTCTTTGCCCACAGGAAGGAATGGGCCTGTTACTCTCTATCTTCCCTTCTCCCTTTGGTAAGACAATGGCACTGATTTTTATTGTAGGTGGGAATCCAGGGCAGGGGACTACAGTAAGACCCAAGGATCCACCCCAATCCCAAGCAGCAGCAAGGGCCCCCCAGGACCTATTCTACTCCTTCACTCCCCCTCCTCCTTTTTTTTTTTTTTTTTTTTGTTTGTTTGTTAACCTAGATACTGGTTGGTTTCATTGTGGCCCTTGTTCCCAGGTTAAACTGAATCCCTTATCACTAAGGCATCAGATCCGTTGCCACTGAGTCTGCCAACCTACTTATTTGCTCTAGACCTGCCCAACAAAGGGTGGCTCCCCTCATTCTCCTTGCTGTGGGAACCCGCCCTGCAATTCTGCCCCCTTTCGCCCTCCTTCTCTTTCATGTGCCCTGGCGGGGGGTGGGGACAGAGCGACACAGGCAGTGGACCATATCAGGACGGACACAGGTTTTGGAGGCAATCAGACTGGGCACAGAATCCTGTCTGCACCATGATTAGTCCCTGACCTTGGAAATCTTTCTTACCACCCCCGCCCTCACCCCACCAAAAGACTTCTGGACTCTCCAGAACCTCAGGTTTTGCTGATATAAAATGAGAAAAAAATTAAAAATAAAACAGGGCTGTGGGGAGGAATGGGTGTAAGGTTAAAAGCTAAGCGAGGACAAGCTGGGGGCACAGGCCTGCTCTGCCTGGTTGGGTGGCAGAGGGCAAGGTCCTTGCCGAGCTTACCCCCCACAGCGCTCATTTCTACACGGGGGTGGGGGAGAAGGGGGGAGCAATAAGAGGCAGCAGGCAAGCGGGGGCAGGGAGCGGTTGGAGCAACTGCTGCCAAATATTCTGAAAGATTTTCCTTTCTTTTGAAAGAAGATTAACTTTTCGGTGACAAATACTATGACTGTTAGGTCAGTTATTAATTACAAAAGTATATTAATTGTATTATGGCAATAGCCACACTCTTCCTTATGAAATGCACTTGTAAAGTCTGACTCCTAATTTTTTTTTTTTTTTATTGGAGGCGGGAGCCCAGAATGCAGAGGTGCCAAGGGCCTGGAAAGTCCCAGTGCAGCCCTCATGGCAAAGGTTCCTGAGGCTACGTGCTTTAGGGAGATGGGAGGTGGCGGGCAGGACGCGCCCTGCAGGTGTGGGAGAAGGGCTCATCCTCCTTCAGGCTCACCCTTCAAGGAATCACTTCTCTCCTACAGCTGCAAATTCTGTTCTTTCTTCCATTCCTAACCCTGAACTGACACCTGCTTCCATCCAGCGGGTAGGGCACTGTAAGTGTCCTACTGACCACGTCACCCTGTGGGTCAAAAAAAAAAATGGGCAAGGAACTGAGTGGACATTCCTCTCCCAAGACACACAGGCAGCCTACAAGCACACACAAAGATACTCCATCCTGGTCACCCGCCATCAGGAAGATGCAAGTTAAAACTCCAAGGAGACAGCACTTCACACACGACGACTGCCATCACCCACCAACGCTGAGGAAAACAGGCGCTGGCACAGACAACGAGACTCAGGGGCTTTGTGTGTTGCTGGGAGGAGAGCGAGCGAGTGCAGGTGCCATGGAAAACAGTCTCACAGCTCCTCAAAATAAACAGAGAGGCACCGCATGATCAGCGATTCAGCTTCAGGTACGCACTCAAAGGAACCGAAAGCTGAGACTGCAACAGGTGCTCGCTTAGCATCTTCACAACAGCCTTCCGAGAGCCAAAAGGTGGAAGCCATAGACATGCCTCTCAACAGGTGAATGGGTAAACACGACGCCACAGGCAGAGGCCGCGAATACCGGTCAGCCTTGTGCAGGATGGAGATCCTGACATGCCCCATCACGCAGGCTGGAGCTGACGAAACAAGCCAAGCACAGAAGGACACACAGCGTGTCGCACTGTCTTCCTGAGGTCCCAGAGCAGCCGGGTTCACGCACACAGGACAGGGACAGGAGGCCGTTAGGAGCCTAGGGGAGCGGGATGCGGAGCCCGTGTTTAACCCGTGTGGGGCGTCGCTTTGGGGCAATGGGAAAATTCTGCAGCTGGAAGGTGGTGAGGGTTGCACAGCCACAAATGTCCGTAACAGTACACAAATGGCTCCAGCAGTAACAGTAGTTTTATGTGTATTTTGTCAGATTTCACACACACACACACACACACACACTATGGCTCCCTTTGGTGTAAGTCCTAACCCTTGCTGGCTGCCAAAGCACCACCTCTTCTCCCGCGGGGACAGGTTTCTTCTGGCGTCCTCTGCCCTCCCCTCCTGAAGACCCTCCGGGGCAAACCCAGTGTGTGTGACCTCACAGGGGTCCCTTCCAGAGCAGGAACATCTCTCTCCCTCTGCCGAGCCCATCTCACCACAAAAAGTCCGGCCAGTGTGCACTGGTCAGAGCTGGTCAGAGATGCCCTGGGTGGGCTCCTGCTGGGCTGTCCCTTCCATTTCCACGTTGGCCAAAGCTGGGAACATCTGTTCCAATGACAAGCCAGAGTGCGTATACAGGAGCCACGGCTTAAGATTGGGGGTCTAGCCAGGTGGTTCACTCACTCACAGCCCCACACTGGGGGGCCCGGGTTTAACTCCTGCTCTGCCAGTGCAGACCCTGGGAGCCAGGCAGACAAGCTGCTTCAAGTCCCTAACACCCACACGGGAGACCTGCACTGCAGTTCCATCTCCTGGCTATGGCCCGGGGGTTCAGAGCCAGCCACTGCAGGCAACTGGGAATGAACAATGAACCTCTCAAACAAACAATTAAGACCCAAACAAGAAACAAGAGTGGCCAAAGCCAAAGACTGTGGGAGAGACAGCCAGCCCCACCCTGCCTGTTTCTGAGCTGAATGGTGAGAACCCCATGGGGGGTGGGGCGGGGATAAGCGTAGAACCCCCCTGGGCCCGCAGCATCAGAGTGGAAGCAGAAAGCTGGCAGGATGCTGTTTTTCGGTAAAAGGTGGATTTCTAACAAGTATCTAGCAACAATCGCCACGTTCCCTGGTGTCTTCCAGCTATGGGGCCTTCGATGGCTTACTGCATCTCATCCCCACCAAGAGCCTCTTCAGGCAGACCCGATTTTCCCTACCGTACAATTTGAGGAAATCGGCTTAGCTATCTTTAGCATGTTTTCCACAAGTTGTATTTCCGTTATCTCTGGAAGATTCCCTTTCCGTATTTAATCGTGTGTGTGTGTGTGTGTGTGTGTGTGTGTGTGTGTGGTGAAGGGTGCTGCCACAGCTAGGGATTATTCAATCTGTTAACAAAATGCTATGGCTTTGTTTTTATACGGTGTAAGAAACGTGGGGATTCATGCAGGAAGCTCACGCAAAACATACAATATGAAGAAAGGCTGCAGGTATTTCAACTTTCCTTGCACCAAGCTTAAGTTTCTTTTTTGTTGTTGTTTTTTTGTTTTTTTTAAGATGTTATCTATTTGAAAGAGTTACAGAGACTCGGGGATTGGGAGACAGAAAGAGAATGAAATCTTCCATCCATACAGGTGCAATCACCAAGCAATGCCCTTGCTTTGGGCTTACAAAAGAATTGCATAAACCAAGGCCACAAAGGTTGAAGCGGAGGGCTAGGAACTAGCCCAGGTCCGTGGGCCTTCGTAGGAAAACTACACGCTCCAATGTCCCCTGCTTCCTCTTTGTGGGGCAGCAGGGACAGCCGGCGGCCGCGAGCTCCCAGGGCCCAAAGAAGTCCTCGGAATCGCGGGGCTGGTTTGGGTGCGGGTGCTGAATAACGCTGTTGCACCGGGCTTAGGAAAGGCCTTCACCTACCTGGAGGAGGAGGAGGTGTGGCTGGGAAGCTGGTCATCGTGGCTAAAGGTCAGGCACTGGAGGGAGGGGCGGATCTGAAGGAAGACAAAGACCTGAATGAGGCGGGTGGGGCCCTGGGCAGCAGTCCCAAAGCCCAAGACAGCCCTGGGGAGCCACGGTCCCTCTCCACCCCCTCCTGGGCAGTCCTATGCCTCCTGAGTGCCCCCCCACCCAGTACCTGCCCAAGCTCTCCCCAAGAGCCCACCGGGGATCGCACGTTCTTTAGGATGCGTCCCCTTTGGGATCTTTCCAGCGGACCCCCCCACATTCACCTAAGAGGAGCCCCCTCCTCCCCGTTCTGCCCCCTCGACACGCACCAAAGCCCGAGAAAAGTCAGGCAAAGGCGGGCAAGCCCGTCCGCGGCTTCCCCGGCGCGCCGCCGCCCACCGGTACCCCGGGCTCCGAGCGCGCGGAGCTGGGTGGAGCCATCCACTAGGTGTCAGGAGAGGCCCAGAGGTCGGGACCCGCGCCGGGGCTCGGCAGCCGGGCCACGCACCCCGGGCCTGCCCCCGACACGCGGCCCCGCCGCCCCTCCGGCGGGGGTCCCGGCGCCGCGCGCGCCGCCCCCAGCCCGCGGCCCCGCCGCCCCGCGAGCCCCCCGACGGCCGTCCGCGCGCGCCGCCCCCTCGAGGCGCTCCCGCGTTACCCGCGCGCCCGGAGAGAACGCGTGGCCGTGCGTCCCGGGGCGCCCTTCGCCTGCCGAGCCGCCGAGCCGCGGCCGCTCTCGGTTTCAGTTCCTGTCGTGTGCGTGTGGGCGACCGGGCCGGCCCGCCCTCAGTCCCCTCCTCCGCGTGCTCACCTTTCCAGTCAGACGAGCCTCGGGGAAGGGCGACGGCGCCCCGCGCGTCCTTTTGAACTCGACCCGGGGCGGGCACGGCCGAGCGCGCGGGGCCGGGGAGAGGCCGAGCGGGGCCGAGCGGGCCGAGGGACGCGCGTCGCTCTCCCGCCGAGGCGGGCCGAGGGGTGGGGATGGGGTGGGGGGCCGGGCCGGCGGGGTGGGACAGGAAAAGAGGAGCGAACCGCCCGCCCTCTGCCAGGTTCGCCCTGGCCGCCCGGCCGCCGCCGCGCTCCCCCGGGAGGAAGGGCCGCCTGCCCTCCGCGGCCGCCGCTTTGCTCTCCATCCGGAGTCGCTTCCTCCCTGGCGCGGAGGCTCCACCAGAGGGGCTGAGATCGGAGCCCCGGGCTGGCTTTCCAGTGAGATCGGAGCCCCGGGCTGGCTTTCCAGGGTTGCCGGGATTTGAGTCGCGGCAAACGGGCAGTGCCGGTGGTTCCCTCAAGTGATGCATCCCGGCCGTCGGCGGCCGTGCGGTGGGCCGCCCGTCCCTCACGCCACCTGAGGCGGTACTCGGAACCCCCCAGCCCTGCACCTGGCATCTGCGTGACTGCACATCACACATTTCCGAGGTTGGCTTTGGGACGTGGGGCTGCCGGAGGGCAAAGCCTGTGAGGACGTTTCGTGACGACCCCTCCCCCGCGCGCCATTCCAGCCCAGGCTGAGTACTGCCACTTAACTACGAATTAGTGTCATATTCGCAGTCCCTCTTGACTCACTTCTGTGGGGGCAGGAAGTGTTCCCGGATGAATCAGAGGAACTGAGTGACTAAGAGGATGTGTGGGACACAGGCTCTGCCATGGTCCCTGCTGCGTCATCTTGGACAAGCCACTGCTGTTTCTCTCACCTGGGGGCAGGACCTGCCTGGTCACTGTGTCGCTGTGTCGCTGCAATGAATTAGTAGGCAGGTGGAAAATGACGTGGAAGGGAACGTTTGTTTTGTGGCAAAATACCGGACCTCCATGTGTAGTTTTTTTTATAATACACATTTTCTGTGAGCTCTTTCAAGACCCCTCATTAGCATGGCTTTAAACTTTATCTTTTAATTCCATTTCCTGCAAACTTTAAAAGGTTTTATTTTGCTCTTTAAAAAGATGCATTTATTTGAAAGGCAGAGTTAGAGCTCTTCCATGGGTTCACTCCCCAAATGACCACAATGGAAGCGGGTGGCCTAGAGCTTCTGGTTTCCCACATGGGCTGCAGGGCCCAGGAACTTGAGCCATCGCCCTCTGCTTTCCCAGGCACGCAAGCAGGAAGCTACATCAGAAGTGAAACAGCCAGAACTCACATAAGTGCTTATACGGAAGGCCAGCATCAGAGGCAACAACTTTATCTGCTATGCCATGCCAACCCTTAACAGTTTCTCAGTTTATTTTCATTTTACTTGAAACAGAAAAATGTTGTACCTACTGGAACTTCTCAGATGCCCACAACATCAGGGCTGGGTCAGGCCCAATCCAGGAGCCTGTCACTCAACGGCCACTTTGTTGACTGAGATCCAAGGGTTTGCGCTGTCACGTGCTGCCTCCGAGGGTGTGGACGGATAGGAGGCCGAGACAGTGAGACTGGAACCAGGCATTCTGGCAGGGGATTCAGCATCCCGAGGTGAAATCTACCACTGTGTGAAATCCCCACTCTCTTCACAACATTTGAAAATCATTTTCTTTTAAGGTTTATTTATTTTTGTTGGAAAGTCAGATATACAGAGAGGAGGAGACAGAGAGGAAGATCTTCGTCTGCTGATTCACTCCCCAAGTGAGTGCAATGACCGGTGTTGCGCCATCCAAAGCTGGGAGCCAGGACCCTCCTCCAGGTTTCCCACATGGGTGCAGGGTCCCAAGACTTTGGGCCATCCTTGACTGCTTTCCCAGGGCACAAGCAGGGAGCTGGTTGGGAAGGGGTTGCCAGGATTAGAACCGGCATCCATATGGGATCCTGGCGCATTCAAGGCGAGGACTTTAGCCGCTAGGTTACCACGCCAGCCCCAGTTCAGTGTCTTAATGGCTACCATAGGCAAGTCTGGGCCAGGCCAAAGCTAGGAGACAGAACTCCATCTGCCACCCGCATGGCAGGGGCCCCGCATGGACCAGTGGGTGCTGCCTTCCCAGGTGCATTAGCAGGGATACTGGGTCGCAAGCAGAGCAGCTGGGACTTGAACGAACACTGTCATCGTAAGCCACGTCATGCTGGCTGTAGCAGCATCTTCTGGGGACTCTTTGGCTTACCCTGGATATGTCATGCTTCTAGAGTTTTCTGTGTGGCTTGCCTCATCTGTCAAGGTTGCCAATGAATTACACATGGATATGTGTATGTGAGTTGATGCTGAGCTGCCGGTGCTCTCCAAGGATGAAACGCTGAAGCTCTGATGCTGCAGCAGGCCTGTCTTTGGGGCCCCAGGGAGAAGAGGTACTCACATCTCCCTGCCTCACAGGATTGCCTTTGAGCCCCCCACCTGGAGCTGCAGCCGTCTTCTCAGTCCTAGCCTCGACAACCTTAGCAAACCACAGTGCACAGTCAGGTTCCCAGCTGAGAGTGTGTGCCCTCGGTAAGCACAGGGGCCCTTCCCCTTGCCTTCTGGATCGTTCAGTAGACTTGTGTGCAAATGACATGCCCATCTCCCAGTTTCGTGAGGTTTTCAGGTCAGCTCTGCTCCAGTTGTAGCAGTTAGTACTTCCCTCACCCAGTGGATCATGAATCCCCGAAGTCCTGTCTGACATACTCCCCAAAGAGGTTGTTTCCTGGGAGATGAGGGTCAGGGAAAGCCCTGGAGACGAAAGGTTGGAACTGGTTTTTGTTGAGGAACAGGGGTGGGGTGTTCCAAGCAGATTACTAAGGTCCATGGAAAAAAGTGATCTGTGTCGCCAGCATTTTCCCTACTCTTCCAGTAGCCTGGATTGTCATTCCCAGCAGGGATTCTGAATGAAAAGGTTATAGAAGGCATCCCTGGGGGAGGAGGGGAACACACAATAGCTCGATTGGTTAATTATCTGCCTGCAAGTGCTGGGTCCCATGTGGAATCCTGGCTGCTGCACTGCCCATTCAGCTCCCTGCTTGTGGCCTGGGAAAGCTAGGGAGGATGGCCCACAGCCTTGGGACCCTGCACCCGCGTGAAAGGCCTGGAAGAGGCCCCAAGCTTTGGATCAGCCCCGCTTCAGCAGTGGCAGCCAAGGGAGTGACCCAACAGAGAGCTCTTTCTCATTTCTGCTCTCTGTAAATCTGCCTTTTTTTAAAATAAAGATTTATTTTTATTATTTTTTTTATTGGAAAGGCGGATATACAAAGAGTAGAGACAGAGAGGAAGATCTTCCGTCCAATGATTCACTCCCCAAGTGAGCGCAACTGCCAGTGCTATGCCAATCCGAAGCCAGGAGCCTCTTCTGGGTCTCCCACGTGGGTGCAGGCTCCCAAAGCTTTGGGCCGTCCTCGACTGCTTTCCCGGGCCACTGGCAGGGAGCTGGATGGGAAGTGGAGCTGCCGGGATAGAACCGGCGTCCATATGGGATCCTGGGCGTGCAAGGCGAGGACCTTAACCACTGTGCCACCGCGCCGGGCCCGTAAATCTGCCTTTTTTTTTTTTTTTAAGATTTCTTTTTATTTTTATTGGAAAGGCAGATATACAGAGAGGAAGATCTTCCGTCCGATGATTCACTCCCCAAGTGAGCACAACGGCCGATGCTATGCTGATCCGAAGCCAGGAGCCTCTTCTGGGTCTCCCACGCGGGTGCAGGGTCCCAAAGCTTTGGGCCGTCCTCAACTGCTTTCCCGGGCCACAGGCAGGGAGCTGGATGGGAAGCGGGGTCGCTGGGATTAGAACCGGCGCCCATATGGGAGCCCAGGCGTGCAAGGCGAGGACCTTAACCACTGCGCCACCGTGCCGGGTCCAAATCTGCCTTTTCAATAAAAAGAAATAAAATCCTTAAAAGGCATCCTAAGAGATTAAAAACAACAGTTCTAAGGGTGCCTGTATTTTTGAGCATAGCCAAGAGTCTCCGATGGCGACTCTTTGAAGAGTAACAGGATTAGATTTTAGAAGGACTCACAAATATAAACACATTATTTCCATTTCCTGGTATTAGAGACATCCATTGGGAAATCTGATATTTCAAACTCCTGGTGTACGGTGGCTTACAGGGGACTCTAGGATGTGTGCATTATATTTTATTTGAAAGTTGGAGATAGATTTCCCTCCACTGTTTCATTCCCCAGATATGCAGAACAGCTGGTCTGGGCTAGGCAAGAACTCCATCCGGGTCTCCCGCATGGGTGACAGAGACCCAAGCACTTGGGCTGCCACCTGGCACGTTGCACAATGCACATTAGCAGGAAGCTGGGTGAGGATAAGGAGTGCCAACTGGCTATATACCCAAGACAGGAACACAATGAGTCAGATACCTGCGCCGCCATGCTAATAGCAGCACAACAGCCAAACTCTGTAATCAGCCGAGGTGTTCATTATCTGATGAGGGGATAAAGAGAATGTAGCATATATATATAATGGAGTGTTATCCACCTGTAAAATAGAGAATGGAATTCTATCATCTGTGGCAAAGTGAATGTAACCGGAAGCATCATGGCAAGTGACATGAGCCAGATCCAGAAAGAAAAACACCACACGTTCTCCCTTATGTGGGGAAGTTAAAATTTAAACAAGAGGAAAGGAAAAAAGAAGGGTCTCTGTGTATCAGTACTGGTGAAATACAGTTTTGTAAAACTTTTATGACTTGTGGTTCTCTGACAAAATTAAGCAATCAAGTTTATGTTAGAAGGACATTAAGAAGCTTACAGAGCTGAAAGAATAGCCGTGTTTTAGGAAGAGCAAGAACCAGCCTGGGAGGGTCAAGAATGATATCCTACAGCAGCTTCAATGATCTCTGATTACTCAAATATTTACTGCTTATTGGTGACATAATTTTCCATCGAATTATTATTTATAGCCATTATCTGAATTCCCACTAAGCTAGGGTCCTTTTTTTTTTAATGTCTTATTTGTTAAAGCATTAATCATTTTTACTGTAGATGTTATCTCAACAAATTTTTAAAAAAGCGGGGGGTGGGGGGGAGAAGGAAGAAGGGTTGGAATATCATTGTTTTAAAATTGTTATCTGCAGGCCCAGCACAGTAGCCTAGCAGCTAAAGTCCTTGCTTTGCACGTGCCAGGATCCCGTATAGGCACTGTTTTTGTTTTGTTTTGTTTTGTCTTTTTTATTTTTAGCAGAAAGTCAGATATACAGAGAGGAAGATCTTCCATCAACTGATTCACTCCCCAAATGGCTGCAACGGCTGGCGTTGTGCCAATCTGAAGCCAGGAGCTCTTCCAGGTCTCCCACACAGGTGCAGGGTCCCAAGGCTCTGGGCCGTCCTCTACTGCTTTCCCAGGACACAAGCAAGGAGCTGGATGGGAAATGGGGCTGCTGGGATTAGAACTGGTGCCTAGAGAGCCCAGAGTGGTAGCCTAGCGACTAAAGTCCCCACTTTGAACCAGCCAGGATCCCATATGGACACAGGTTCTAATTCCAGCAGCCCCACTTCCCATCCCTCTCCCTGCTTGTGGCCTGGGAAAGCAGCCAAGGACGGCCCAAAGCCTTGGGACCCTGCACCTGTGTGGGAGACGCAGAAGCAGCTCTGGGCTCCGGGCTCCTGGCTTCAGATTGGCATAGCTCCGACTGTTGTGGTCACTTGGGGAGTGAATCAATGGAAAAAGATCTTCCTTTTTGTCTTTCCTCCTGTTTTTCTGACTTTGCCATGAAAAGTAAATCTTTAGAAAAAATAAAATTGTACCTACAAATCACACTGACTCTGTTAAAAGCCAGTTAAAAGTTAAAATGTGAGGAGTGCAGGCTCCAATCAGACTTCCTAATATGGGATACAGATGTTCCAAGTGAAGACCTCCAGGCCCTGCCACAGGCCACTCCAGGCTTGTTTTCATAGGATAAGACATAATTGGGCGCAATACACTGGACCAAGTGTACATCACTTAATGAGTTTTGACACAGGTATGTACCACTCAGTTATCACTGGGATCAGGACTAAGAACCTCTGTCATCCCCAAAGAATACCATTTTGTAATTCACCCTCCTCACCCCTGGCCTTCCTGTCTCTTCTCTGACAGTGCCAGCCACAGCTCACAGTCTCCCTTGCCACGGGATGGGCACGCACATCGTGCCAACGAGCCAGGTACCGTGTCCAGGGGCCCTGTGTCTGAAGAGGACAGAGTGGCAGAGGGGCTGATGCTGAGTCTCCTGCTGCTTGTCCTTCCGACAGCACGGCTCTTCTGTTCTATACGCTCCCATGTCCTAACATAAACTCGATTGCTTCATTTTGTCAGTTGGTTGCTTGCAAGAACCCACAAAAAATGCATTTCCTCTTATAGTCACTGTTTCAGGAAATGGCACCACCAAATTGCAATTTCTCAAACTCAACCCAGAATTCCTGGGAACCTCAGTGTTCACCACATGTCTGCTTCTCTCATGTCACTCAGTCCTATCCATCCCACACCCCGCCCAAGAGCCTGTCGCCTGTCCATCCCACACCCCGCCCAAGAGCCTGTCGCCTGTCCATCCCACACCCCGCCCAAGAGCCTGTCCTGAAAGATCTCATTTCCTCGCTCAAGGATCCTCCCGAACCTCTCACTGCGTCTGCCAGAGTAAGTGCCCAATGAAGGCTTGCCAATGACTGAAGGAACAATGACACCATTGCTCTGCAAAACAAGCAAAACAGAAGAGGGTTCATGTGGTTGTATCAGTGTCAGGGCAGCAGGCACAATTTTTAATGTTTTCACAAAGTATTTCATAGGAAATAAATGGCAGGTTGTGCACGTTAGGACTTTTTTTTTTTAAGATTTATTTTATTTTCATTTCAAAGACAGATTTGCAGAGAGAAGGAGAGGCAGAAGGATCTTCTCTCAGCTGGTTCACTCCTCAAATGGCCACACTGGCTAGAGCGGAGACGATCTGAAGCCAGGAGCCAGGAACCCCTTCTGGATCTCCTACATGGGTGCAGGGTCCCAAGGCTTTGGGCCGCCCTCACCTGCTTTCCCAGGCCACAAGCAGTGAGCTAAATAGGCAGCGGAGCACCTGGGACATGAACCAGTGCCCATATGGGATTCCGGCACATGCAAGACAAGGATTTAGCCACTGAAGCATTGCGCTGGGCCCAAATCTTGGGACTTTTGACTCCAAATTCCATGCTAGTCCTACTATGTTATTACTATACTTGGCATCCTTTTCCTTTGAATTTCATATCTTCCTTCATCCAGCCCAGATCCCTACTGATACACCAAGTACTAGGTTGTTGGCACTATAAATGGGTCTAAAATACACATTGACCGCTTTGCCCAGCCAGTGTGCTCACTAGAAACAGATGTGGATGGAGAGGAGTCTGTGGCTCCTTCAGGGGCACGTGTGCCTGGTGGTTACCACCAGAGCAGCTGGGTGTGAGACCTGGCTCTGGAGCCACCGGGAGCCTCGAGGGAGGCAGTCGGGATGGCTTGTGCCTCTGCCACCCTCTCAGGAGACCACAATTGGATCCTGTTTCCTGGCTCTGACCTGGCCACTGCAGCCATTTGGGGAGGAAACCAGCACATAGAAGCTCTTTCTCTCTCTGAAATTAAAAACAAACAAACAAATGAAACAAACAAACAGAAGAAATTGTAGCCAGGAGGTCTGGCAAGCGGAGTCAGGGAAGCGGAGTCAGGGAAGCGACTAAAACCTTTTTAGCCTGGGGCAGAATGTGTAACCTTGCCTGAGTGAAAACAGCATACCGCACTGGGTCAAACAAAGTGTCCAAACAGAGCCAAATCCTACTTTATTTAAGAACCTGAACATCTGTCCTTTTAAGTCCTGCAAAATGAGTGGTAAGTGAAAGATTTGTTCACTAGCCTCTGAGTGTGCATATCATGACGTGTCTGTGTATAGATTTTGTGACTTTTTATAGTCACATTAGCCATATTTTAACTGATAAAACCTTTTTCTTTGAACAATGCTAAAACGTACATTAAATACTCCTGGAATCTAACATTGTCTTTGCTTAGGCTGCCTGCTGCTTAGCCTTCCCTAGTGCCAGGTCGACAGAGGCCACCAGCTGCCACGCTGAGAGCCTAGAGCTGTGTGCTGGCTCTCTGCCCCTCTGGCCGAGGAGCAGCTCCGGGGAGGCGCGCGTGCACTGGGCGTCCTGGCAGCTTCTCTCAGGGCTCTGCATTCTGACTTGTGGACACCTGGAAAGGAAACATGATCACATCACATGCTGATCTGTCCTCCCACCACTCACCCAAGGAGTGTAAACACCCAAACTGCTTCTGGGCTGTACTTCACGGAATGCTCCTGGCTTCCATGGACTGGGGGGGGGCAACATGAAACGGGCTGGGATCACCGGACACTTGTGGCTGGCAGCCTTCACTATGTCATCTGTCATCTCCTGATGCAAGGCCACAAGAGCCTCTGCGACTTTGTAGCAGGAATGGTGTTCTCATGAGCATCTGCCACTACAAACTGGGTGAGCTTACCAAGTTTTTCTCATGTTGGATGCTGGGAAGTCTGGAGCCAATTTGTGGTTCATGTTTAGTAAATTTATTTTCTAGAATACATTTTTGTATATTTGCCTAATTCCAGGCTCCACTTTATGTTCCTGTTCTGTATTACTTTGCTATAGTGTGTGTCTCTGTGTGTGTCTGTGTATGTCTGTGTGTATGTGTGTATATGTGTATATCTGTGTGTATAAAGATATTATGCATATGAGAACTTCTAGAAGTTCATGGAAGAGAGAATTAAGAGGTAAGTTTATTTTGGTGCAAAAAAATTTAAAATCTAGTTTTTTCATAACATATGCACATTTTCCACACACACTTTGGAAACTCCCTGTGTACAAAGCATGTGACATGCGCACGGCCTTTCTGCATGTTCTCCTACTTCTTCACTCACACATGAACTTAAGCACAGCTGCAGTTACACACACACCGAGCAGACAGGGTTAGTTTAAGGTTCAGTGTTAGGAAATGGGCACATTGGTACCACGGAGCCCCAGTTCATTCTGTTCTCTTTGGCTCCCACCTGGAATTCTGTTCTCTGCTGGGTTTCTCTTCCCAGTGTAGCCAGCAGTGAGGGAGCAGCTGGGAACCAAAACCCTGACCACCAGGCCCAGTGCTACTGCCCTGTCTGCTCTCGGCATACCTGGTGCCTTACCTCCTGCTGAGGTTCAGGTGCTGTGCTGTTTTCTTCTGGACCTGCAGAAGCCTGAAGCTCAAGGTCTTGATCCTAGAACAAGAATAGTGAGAGGGCTCAACATTCCTAGCCTCTTGCCTTACAAGTCTTTGTGTCTTACACTTGTCTACACAGTGGTGACCTAATAGGTTAACCCTTCATCTTGCAGTGCTGGCATCCCATGTGGGCTCCCAGCTGCCTGCTTATGGACTGGGAAAACAGCAAAGGACAGCTCAAGTCCGCAGGACCCACTGGAAGCTCCCAGCTCCTGGCTTCAGATCGGCTCTGCCTCAGCCATTGTAGCCTTTTCGGGAGTGAACCAGCAGATGGAAGATATCTCTGTGTCTCCTTATCTCTGTGAATCTGCCTCCAAATAAAAACTAAATAAATCTTAAATAAATAAACAAGCCAAGGCTTAAAGGGCAAAGTGACTTGCTGGGACAACAAACCAGATTCAGACTCCAGAGTTGCTTCCATTATCAGACTCCGTGTGGTTTCTGTGATACACACATCTTAAAAAAAAAATTTTTTTTTTCATTTTATTTGAAAGGCAGAGACAAAGAAAGACAATGGGAGATACTCTACCTGCTTGTTCACGCTCCAAATGCCCAGAATAGCCAGAGCTGGGCCCAGCTCAAGCCACGAGCCAGCACTCAATCCATGTCTCCCACATATGAGGTATTTGCTATGGTATCTCAAGTAGCAGGTGCTATCTTAGCGTCTATGCTAAGTGCCTGCTCCTGTGAGGTCTTCAAAGCACTATTTGGAGCAGGCATCTGGCCCAGAGGTTAACAATGCCCACGTCCCACGCTGGAGTCCCTGAGTTCAATTCCCAGCTCCAGCCACTGACTGCAACTTCCTGCTGATGCAGACCTCTGCAGGCAGTGGTGGCGGCTCTCACCTGGGAGATCTAGACTGAGTTTATGACCTAGTCCCGTCCCAGGCATTGGGAATTAAAGTTTTAAAGCCTGCAGTTCACTACTTTGAGATAAACCTTCCTCACGGATGTGCTGCAGGAGCAGGCCCTAGGATGTCCATATCAGAGTGCCCGGCTGCAGCCGCTCTGCTCCTCACGCAGCTTCCTGCCTGGAAGGCAGTGGATGACGGCTCAAGGACTTGGATCCTTGCCACTCACTTGGGAGTTCTGGACTCTGAGCTTCAGTTTGGCCTAGCCCTAGCTGCTGTGGGCATTTGGGGAATGAACCAGAAAATGAAGATCTTATATCTGCCTTTCAAAAAAAGAAAGAAGGAGAAGAAATGCATGGCAGCTCCCACCCTTAGGTGACCCTAACACATGACAGGCAGTCGGAGGGACAGGGGCGTAAGAGGTTCTTTTGGAAAAATTTTCAGTTCTAGGTTCCTTGCCTCTCCTTGCCTTTCCTTTCCTTGGAAAAAAACATGGATCAAAGCAAGCAGGGAACTGGCACTGTGGCACAATGAATAAAGCTGCTACCAGTGGCACCAGCATTCCCTATGGGCACTGCCTTGAGTCCCAGCTGCTCCACCTCTGATCCAGCTTCCTGCCAACGTACCCAGAAAAGCAGTGGAGGACAGCCCATGTGGAGACCTGGAAGAGGCTCCTGGCTCTGACCGATCCCAGTCCTACCTATCACAGCCATTTGGGGGAGTGAACCAGTGACTGGAAGGCCTCTCTGTCATTCCCATGCCCCTCGTGTGCCTTTCAAATAAAATAAATCTTCTATCTTTTTTTTTTTTTTAAGTTTTTTTTTAAAGCCATTCTTCCTCAGTGTTTCTATGTCTAGGTTCCTCTCATCAAAAAAGATACACCTTGCAAAACTGCTGTCATTTTTTAGGATCTGCTTGTCATAGCCACAGGTATGATAAACAGAAGTAAGAACTCCCCCCACCACCCTAACACACACACACACACACACACACATGCACACACACACGCACACATACACACACGACCCTATACTAAAAGTAAAGCTCAGAATGTCATTTATTTATACTAGTAACAATATGCTATAATGATACTAGAGATCAGCCCTTTGCAGAAGTCAGTCATTCCAAGGTAGAATACTAAAGTAGCTGTTAAGAAGACATGAAAAAATCCCTAGCACCAAAATGAGGCATCCAAGAGTGTTGCGACTACAATACAGCAACATCTTCTCAATGGGCATCCTGACCACGAGAAGGTGGGCTACGTGAAGGTTACGAGAGGAATAAGGACCCGACCACACCAATCCTTACCTGAGAGACCAGGCTGGGGGAAGCACAGAGTTTCTCTGGGTTTGGAATTTGGGCATCTTCCTTTTCTTTGGCCTCAGGAACTCTGGTTGGCTTCTCTGGCGGCTCTGGGTGAGGAGAGGCCTCTAAGGAGGCCCTAGGACTTGGAGCCCCAGTCCCCAAGGAGGCTCTGGGGCTAGTGGGTGAAGCCCCTCCAGAGGCTGGAACGTTCCCTGAGGAGGGCCTGGAGCTGGCAGTGGCTCGGGGAGGAGGTGGCCTGCTTGGCGGTGCGGAGGTCCTCTGAATAGAACCTCTCTTCTTTGGCTGTTCAGCTCCTTCACTTGAGGCGCGGGTTCGGAGGACAACCTCTGGGACTGAGGATGAAGGCTGCCCGGAAGGGGTCTGGGCTGTGTCTGGTGATGCAGCTGGGGAGGCAGGGAGAACCTCCTCCTGGCCACACTCAGCGGTGGCAGAGGGCTGGGCCTCAGCTGGACCATTGCAGGCTGGCGGAGGCTCTTCCTCCTTCGAAGAGCTTACTTCAAACCCTTCCTCAGCCACTTCCTCATCTTTGTTGTCTTCCTCTTGGCCTGCATCAGCTGCCAGCTCCTCTTCACTGGATGAGACAGATTCCGTCTCTCCAGTCAAGGAACACGCAGAGGGGCTGGTAGGTGGGGTGAGAGGGCTGGAGGCTGTAGATGTTCGAACTGGCGCCGAGATGACCAAAGAGCGCCTGCTGCTACTAAAAGAGGAAGGATTCAAACTCAGAAGAGCTAAAGACTGGAAGTAACTGAAATATCCAAAATGCATTATTGAGCATGTGCTAAACAATAAAACAGAATAAGCCAACATAAAATGACTTAAGGGGCTGGCAGTATAGCACAGATGCCAGTATCCCACAGAGCCACCAGTTTGTGTTCTGGCTGTTACACTTCTAAGCCAACTCTCTGTAGACGGCCCAAGTGGTAGGGTCCCTGACACCCACATGGGGGACTGTGAGGAAGCTCCTGGGGGCCCGGTCTAATCCCAGTCATGTGACCACCTGGTGAGTATGTTTCTCTCTCACTGAAAATCTTCCCAATAAATACATCTTTAAAAATGATTCTGGAAAGTTTGTATAATTGGCAATTACACTTCTGTTACAAAGTTTAAAAAGAGCTATACTATTTAACCACAGCCTGATTTTCCTGACTTTATGTACAAGTATGTAAAGGTGGAGTGGGCATTTGGGACAGTGGTCAAAGCCCTGCATGGGATGCTCACATCCCATACGAGTGCCTGGGTTTCAGTTCTGCCTTTGTTTCTGATTCCAGTTTCCTGTTACAGTGCACCCTGGGAGGCAGCAGATACTGGCTCAAGTAGTTGGGTTCCTGCCCTCAGCATAGGAGACCCAGATGGAATTCAAGCCCCTGGTTTCGGCCTGGCCAGCCCTTGCATGTTGCAGGCATTTGAGGAGTGAACCAATAGAAGGAAAATCTATTTCCTTGTTTGTCTGTCACTCTACCTTTGAAATTTAAAAGACAAAACAAAAAAATTATGGCTGTGCATAGGCAGGGCTGGGGGAGCCTGCCAAGGCTGTGTGTGCCACTGGACAAGGGCTATGCAAGGGTGCTCAGCCCCAAGTCCCACGGCTGCGCACCAAGCCAGCAACAGGTCAGGGGAGGCCACTGAGGGTTACTGAGATACCTGACATAGCTGCTGGAGACTTCCACAGAACAGGCACATGCATGTCAGGAGAGTGGGCCAGGCCTGAAGCAGCACCCACCGTGGTGAACAAATGCCAGATTGGAGAGTCAGCTTGGTAGGGTTTCTGGAGGTTTCCCTGTCCATGCCAAGGTATTTTCTGGGAAGTGTAAGAGCTGGGTCTGAGGGTGAACAGGGCCAGGTCTACTGCACCTATCAGTAAAATCAAAGTTCAGGGCAGGCGTAGAGAGAGAGGGTTGGGTCACCACTGCAACAGCCACCACAGGAGAGCCTGGTCTGGGGATTGGTCTGGTAGGAGTCCACAGGATTCCAGCTGATTAGACAGCTATGCTTGCTGATAAAAATGAAAGCCAGGGCTGTGGGTTGGCAAGATTTAACTGCAGCACAGGATGGGGTAGGCTGGGCCAGACTGAGGCACCCCTTGGAAACCAGATCTGGGGTGCAGCCTGGTGGGGTTCACAGGGTCTCCCCAACTGCGCCACTGTACCCTCCAGTGCCCATGAGAGCTGGGTTTGGATGAAGACGGCTGCACCAGGCCGCAGCACCTGTTGATGCACATGAGTGTGAGGTCAGGGAGATATCCTCCCAACCCGAGCCCCTTAATGGAGGCCTCTGAGGCAACATCAAAAGACCATTTCTCCCCCCGCCCCACCCCATCTCCCGTCCCACCCCTGCGACAGGCACATCTCTCACCCTTTCCGTTCTCTGACACTCTCCCTCCCTGCCAGAGGCTGTCTGCAATCCCCATCCCCTCACCTCTGTAAGGAACACTAAAAATTAATGATTTCATTATGAAATAACTAAAGAGGAAACAAAACAAAAACAAACAGAAAAAAGTTAACTCAACAGAAAGGTGGGAAAAAGATAAATTCACACAGAAGAGCAATTTTGAATGCTTAATAACATGAAGATGTGTTCATGATAACTGGCTACTGTGGTTTAAAACTGCAAAAAAATACATATATTCCCTTGTTAAAGCCATGAACTTGGAAGAATTAAGAAGTTCACATGTAACACGAATGTGAAGCCACGGGGCTTCTTATTCACTGCTAGTGGCTTGCACACTTGAGCAATCACTTCAGAATTTCTGGAAAGGCTGAAGAAGGCCCAGTGACCTGTGACTCAGCAATTTCACAGACCCTGAGGAAAATCCTGCTCATATTTACAAGGAGGAATATAAAACATGTTCATCACAACAGCAAACACTACATCATTACAGCAGCAAACACTTGCAAACCAAGTGGAATGCCCAAGGATGAGGCACGCAATAACATCCATCACAGTTATGGAAAGGGCACAGTGAGCAAATACAGCAACAAGGACACACCGCACAAACAGTACTAAGAACACGAAGTTACACAAGAACAGGCTCAGTGTGAGTGCATTTATCTCAACATTTAGAACATGGTGCTGTGGCACAGGAGGCAGAGCTGCTGCCTGTGGTGCCATCCCTCTGTAGGGGTGCCACTTCATGTCCTGGATGCTCCACTTCCCATCCAGCTCCCTGCTTGTGGCCTGGGAAAGCAGTAGAGGACGGCCTAGAGCCTTGGGACCCTGCACCTGTGTGGGAGACCTGGAAGAAGCTCCTGGCTCCTGGCTTCAGATTGGCTCAGTTCCCACCATTGCAACCACTTGGAGAGTAAATTATCAGGCAGAAGATCTTCCTCTCTATCTCCCCTTCTCTCTGTATATCTGCCTTTCCAATAAAAATAAATAAAATTTTTAAATAATATGCATGGAAAAATAAATAATAAATTTAACATAAAGGTTACCTTTGGTGGAGGCAAGGAGAGAAAGTAAGTAGGGAAGGGGCACTGGGGACTTATGTAAATATATTTACAATGACCAGTTTCTTCAGCTTGACAACAGATTTATGGCTCTTGGTTACATTATTACCTTTAGTTATATTTGAAATATTTAATGAAAAGAAAAATAATTTATACAAAGATTACGGCACAAAACGATTATCATCATGCGCGCAAGCAGAGAGGAAAGGCAAGAATTTCAGACACAGAAATGTCCTCCCACAAGGAGACGTGGCAGGGTCTCTCACCTGGACAGTCCTTTCACCACAAAGACCTTGTTGGAATGTTGCTTCTCCAGTTTGCTCATCACCTCGTACAGGTTGTGGTTCAGCTGCAGGCAGCGAAAAAGGAAAGCCGACAGTCAGGCGGGCCCTGCCTCTGACCCCTCCTTCAGATGGCTCCTCAAAACAGCACTCTCACCCTCCAATCAGTGTCCAGCACACTGTCCTCCAACCCGTCTTCTAGCTCCTAAGTTTTCTCACAATGGACTGGTAGCTTTCTCAAGGCATAGGCCTAAGTGTTTTTTTTTTTTTTTTTTAACATGATAATAAAGTCAGATTTTAATTTTAAGTTCTTTTGAGGACATTTCCTAATGCAATATAGTGTTAAGAAGATATAACTATATATCTATATCTATATCTATATATCACTCTGTTACCCAAAAGCTAAAATATTGTTGAATCTGTAATACATGGTCTATAATACATCATACGTGACAACCTGAACAAGAAACTTAAAAACTTTAGGTCACAATATATCACTCAACATTTGGATTTTTTTTTTTACTTTTCCTATACTCCATGTTTATTTTTTTCCTGAATATCAGTGTATATTGCTTTTATCATAATTAGTATAATCATGTACAATTTAAAATAGTAGTCCAGTGAATCTCTCCATACATATAAAAAACATAAATATAGCATATGTAAATATATGTACATATGTATTATATATATATATGTAACTCTCTTTTGTGTGAGCAGGTTGAATTGTCTCATGTAGCAAGCTTTTTGTCGCTATAAGCTTCAACATTTCATATGATTTCATATAATTTCATATAATTATTTCTGAGCCTCTAGAAAAATAATATAGAAATGTATCTAAGGCCTTAGATAAAAGTACTGATGCCGACTCTGAATCTTGACTCCGCATCTCTCTTGCTTGATGAGGAGGACTGATTACATCTCAGAATCCACATGACCTCTTTGCTCTGGCACTACCGAAGCTGAGTCTCACTGAATCTCACCCTGTACCCATTACTTATGGAAGCGTCTGTAAGCAACTGCTAAAGATATCAAAGTAGACAGACTTGCTAAAAGAAAAAAAGAAAATGAAACAAATTTTATATTTTAAATGATAAAACACTGATAAAAAAGAAAATATATTGAAGAACTATGGAAGAAGCGTCTCTGTATACAGCAGATTTTACTTTGTCGAAAATCATGTGACTTATTTCTATGGAAGACATTTTATCATCGGCTTCATGGGAAAAGCAGTGTGTACTAAAGGAAGCCGACATCAGTACGATCAGGTCCTGCCTACTGTGCTCCTTTCTGTTATCACTATGTCAGCGTAATTTTTAAAATATCTCAGCAAACTCTTCCCTTCAGAACTTTAATAAGAGGATTTGCCAGGTGCAGTGCTGGCAGGAAGCACATGATGCATTTAAGTTTGAAAATGAGGCATCACAACTCACAGGTCTGATCGGCTACATTTTAATTTCAGAACTATAATATGATTTAGCTAGTGGCTTTCTGAAGAAACCTTGTCCACTTGCACCTCTTCATTGTATTAAAATAGAAACATCTTGCCAGTGGTGAGGGAGGCATCTTGGTCACAGACCATAGCAGCTCGGTCCCCTTGCTCCTATTTTTAATTTAATTTTATTTATTTATTTTTTTGTTTTGTTTTATGACGTGTTTTCACAGGCTCTGGGATTCCCCCAGGCCTGAGTGTTCTGGTTTGACCTTCTAGCTTTCCTTAATGCTCCAGGGAATGAAAACTCCTTTTGTTATATTAACCAGGAAAGTCATAATTCAGCCAAAAAAAAAAAAAAAGCCTGTGGAGGATATTGTGTGTAGTTGTGCGTGAATATAATTAATATTGCAGCAGCAAAGAATCTTGAAATTCCAGGACTGGAAAAGACCTAATCAGGTCATGTTTATCTGGCTGCCTGCCACTGATAGAATCAAAGCCCAAACCCCCAGGTCCTGAGCAATGGTTCAACCAGCTAATCCTCCACCTCCAAGCGCTGGCATCCCATACGGGTGTTTGTTCATGTCACAGCTGCTCCACTTCCTGTCCAGCTCCCTGCCTGTGACCTGGGAAAGCAGTATAATACGGCCCAAAGCCTTGGAACCCTGTACCCACATGGGAGGCTTAAGAGGTTCCTGGCTCCAGATCGGTTCATCTATGACCACTGTGGCAATTTGGGGAGTGAAGCAGGGGATAGAAGATCTTTCTCTCCGTAAATCTGCCTTTCCAATAAGAGTGAATAAATCTTTAAAAAAAAAAGTAGGTGGGACCTGCGCAGAAGCCTAGTGGCTAAAGTCCTTGCCTCGCATGCACCAGGATCCCATGTGGGCGCCAGTTTGTGTTCCAGCTGTTCCACTTCCCATCCAGCTCCCTGCTTGTGGCCTGGGAAACCAGTCGAGGATGGCCCAAAGCCTTGAGACCCTGTGACGGTGTGGGAGAAGCAGAAGAAGCTCCTGGCTTTGGATTGCCTCAGCTCTGGCTATTGCGGCCACTTGGGGAATAAACCAGTGGATGAAGGATCTTTTTCTTTGTCTCTCCTCTCTGTAAGTCTGACTTTCCAATAAAAATAATAAATATATAATTTTTTAAAAAACCACTCTGAGAAACTGACTTGTGCTAAGATCCTGGCATCCCTGCTGCCAGGAACAACGGATATGTCACTTAGTTTCCCATTACAATTGTTCTCCCAAAGGCCCAACCTCATTTAGAAATGCCGAAGTTCAAGTTGAGATACTCTTCCTCGGTTCTTAAGGGTGCTGGGGAGGTCTCTGAGGTAGAGGGGTGTGTGTGTGTGTGTGTGTGTGTGTGTGTGTGTGTGTACATTACACCTATGCAATTCAACAGAGATCAACACAGATAATCAAGTGCTTTGTCTCATCACGTCAGAAGCCAAATCTGCGGTGCCAAGTCTTCCATAAATGATGTCAACAAGGGCTGCCTTCATATTGACTAGGAAGCCCACTGAGGGGTCTCAGCTGCCCAGAGGCTTCTCACCTTGCTCATCTCCTTGTAGAAGACATCCCGCAGGTTGGAAATGTTCTGGAAGACAGTCACGTAACAGCCAATGCGACTAGGAGGAAGCAGAACACAGACACGCAGGGAAAAGAGGTCTTTGGAGCTTATGCTAAAACCAGCCACAGCCACGGCCGCGCAGCAGACGGCGCCGACAGGCTCGGCCCGGACGCTCTGGCTCTGGAGCCGCAAGAGGGGCACCAGGCTGCGAGCAGGACGAGGCCCAGGAGATAACACCCACTGAGGCCGACACCAGGAAGGCGTGTGATTCAGGCTCTTAAGATACTGAAATAGACATGAAAGTGCTTTGAAGAACTTTTTAAAGGGCCGTATAAATATAAGGCTATAAAATTATAACTACCATAATAAGTAGTTATCCTTTCTCTTTATGCAATTCAGGGCTTCCATACCTGTGCACACCTAAATGGAATTCTCCCATAAATTAACTGGAGAACTTGACGTTTAAAGAAAATGGTAATACATCTCAATTCTATTTAAATCAGCACTCAGGTGATTAATTCTTTAGAATACATGTAGTTATTCAAAATACACCACCAGGGTCCAGTGCAGTAGCCTACAGGCTGAAGTCCTCGCCTTGCATGCGCCGGGATCCTATTTGAGCGCCGGTTCTAATCCAAGTGGCCCTGTTTCCCATCCAGCTCCCTGCTTGTGACCTGGGAAAGCAGTCGAGGTCGGCCCAAAGCCTTGGGACCCTGCACCCATGTGGGAGACCCAGAGGAGTTCCTGACTCCTGGTTTTGGATCAGCGCAGCTCTGGTTGTTGCGGTCATTTGGGGAGTGAACCAGCAGACAGAAGATGTTTCTCTCTGTCTCTCCTCCTCTCTGTATATCTGACTTTCCAATAAAAATAAATTAATCTTCAAAAAAAAATACATCACCATACATAGACTAATATGAAGTGATAGCACAAAATACTCAGACTACAACTGCATAAAGGTTCTAAGTTCTTTTTTTTTTTTTTTTGCCGATTTATTTATTTTTATTAGAAAGGCAAATTTACGGCCCAGTACGGTAGCTCAGCAGCCTAAAAGTCCTCGTCCTGCACGCACCAGGATCCCTTAGGGATGCCGGTTCTAGCCCCAGTGGCCCCGCTTCCCATCCTGCTCCCTGCCTGTGGCCTGGGAAAGCAGAAGAGGACGGCCCAAAGCCTTGGGACCCTGCACTTGGGCCTGAGACCCAGAGGAAGCTCCTGGCTCCTGCCTTCAGATCGACTCATTTCCAGCCATAGCGGCTACCTGGGGAGTGAACAACGAACGGATGGGAGAACTTTCTATTTCTCTTTCACTCTGTAAATCTGACTTTCCAATCAAAATGAAATCAATCTTTACTAAAAAAAAAAGAAGAAAAAGAAAATAGGATACAAATGAAGTTTTTTTTTTCTTTTTTACAAATGGAGTTTCTGTTCAATTTCTCTTCCGCTGTAGATAATTAAATTCCAAAATACTTTGATCTGCTGTGAAGCAAAGGCACCTTCATTAGTGCATGCAAGCACCCCACAATTTACCCTCCCAAGTAAATCTGGTTATTTATGAATCAAGCCTGTTGAAAATAACACACACTGAGGCAGGGTAGTCGCCAGTCATGGCATGAAGGATGACACCTGCTTTCTTGCCAGGATCTCTCCCACCCAAGAAGCATCCTGTCTTTAAACCCAGAAACTCTGGCAGGGCGAGCTGGACTGCAGCTGAAGAAGCCAGGGTCCAGAGGATCAGGTGTCTTGCCTGGTACCACATAGCAGGTTAGCGGTAGGCTGGAGGTGATGTCCAGGAGCTGCAGGAGGTGAGCCCGCCCCTGAATCTTAAACATTACCTGTTATAGAGGACAGGCAGCTCCTCTAGCAGTTCCTGGTTCAGTTCTTCAAACACACTCTGGGCTTTGTTGAACTCTTCCTCGGCCTAGGGGTTAGGAGGCAAGAAGCCGCTGTCCATCCTCGGCCCGGGGCCAGGGGCTGCCTCCTTTACCCTCTGCATTTTTTGCAGGGGGTAGGCTCACTTGGAACCATGCTTCTCCTTCCCCACACCCGTGTCTTCCCCAGTCTCAAGTCTCGACCACGTCTGCAGCACCAGTGTTGGAGGAAACGGGGTTTTCTTCAGGACACTGGATGCTGGATTTATCACTGCCTGGATCCATCTTAGCCCATCTCCCTGCCTTCGCTCTAGGGAAAGGAAGAGAGGAACGTTTCCTCAGGTCCTTTTACCTTGGTGGTCTTGACCTCATCCTTTTTCTTGGCATTCTGCACTGCCTCCAGATGGTGTCGGGCGCTGTCGTAGTCCACAAGCTTCCGACCCCGCTTGGCGATTCTCTCCTAACGCAGAGCAATGGGAAAGGGTGTGCAGCTTCACTTTTCAGGTTTAGAATGTAGAGACCATGCAGAGTACAGAGCACTCCTGGATTCTACTATCAAATTTCATTTTCGAATAGAGTTTTGTTTCCCTCACATTTATAGTTTATGTATTTAAAAGGCAGAGTTTCAGAAAGAGGAGGAGAGGCAGAGATTTGAGAGAATGTTCATCTGCTGGCTTACTCCTCAAATGGCCTCAATAGCTCAGGTGAGGCCAAGAGCTCCTGGGTCGCCTAGCGTGTGCACGGATCCAAACCCTTGGGTATCCTCTACTGTCCTCCCACGCACATCAGCAGGCAGCTAGACTCCAAGTGGAGCAGGTGGGACTCAAACTAGGGCCTACGTGGAATGCTGGTGCACAGGCAGAGGGGTAGCATGCTATGCCATAATGCCAGTCCCTCTACCAGTGTTTTATGTTCAAAGGGGTCCTCACTATCTTGGAAAGGCAGGGAGTCTTAGTGGGAAATGAAGTAAGGGGCAACAAACGGCCAACTGCTTAGTTAAGAAAATTATTCTGAAAGGCAGAGAGAGAGAAAGCACGTTCCCACCCAGTGGTTTATTTTTCCAAATGGCTGCAGCCAGAAGCACAATTCAGGTCTCCCTATGCGAGTAGTGTGAACCCAGTCACTTCAGCGTTCACCACTATCTTCCAGCTTGCATTAAAGGGAAGCTGGAGTCAGTGGCTGTGCAGCCACAAAGCAAACCTGTGAGACACAAGGGTCTTAACTGCTAGGCTAAAAGTTTGCCCCAAGTGCTATTTTAATATCAACTGCTGGCATGGTGGCTCAAATGGCTAATCTTCCACCTCTAAGCAAAACATCCCACATGGGCACTGGTTTGCATCTCAGCTGCTCCACTTCCCATCCAGCTCCCTGCTTGTGGCCTGGGAAAGCAGAAGAGGACGGCCCAAAGCCTTGGGACTCTGCACCTGCCAGGGAGGCCTGGAAGAAGTTCCTGGCTCCTAGGAGCTTCAAAAGAGCTCAGTTCCAGTTGTTGTGGCCATTTGGGGAATGAAACAGAGCATGGAAGATATTTCTCTCTGTCTCTCCTTCTCTCTGTAAATGCCTTCCCAATAAAAATGAATAAATCTTAAAATAAATAAATATTAAATGCTGAGTATAAAGTGTTTTGAAAACTAAAGCACAATGTAAATAGTAAATTATCATGAGTGTTGTAAGAAAATCTATTGTGGGCTGGCTTTGTGGCTTAACAGGCTAATCCTCCATTTTTGAGTGCCAGCATCCCATACTAGTTCGTAGCCCGGCTGCTCCCTGCTTATGGCCTAGGAAAGCAGTGGAGGATGGGCCACGTCTTTGGAACCTATGTGGAAAACTCAGAAGAGGCTCCTGGCTCCTGGCTTTGGACTGACTCAGTTCCAGCCACTGCGGCCGCTTGGGGAGTGAATCATTGCATAGAAGATCTTTCTCTCTGTTTGCCTTTCCAATAAAAATAAATCTTAAAAAGAAAAAAGTAGCCTTCACATTATCTCTACCCTGCATAGTGCCTCTTGCCTAACCCTCTAACCTCTACCCAACTTCATTTCTAATCAAGAGCTCTAACTCTGCTTGTCATGCCTAACCCAACATATTCTCTCACCAGTACAGGCCAATCACAACGCGCCCTTGATTCTGTAAATCAAATACCTTAATCTCGCCGAACTGGGCCACGTAGTTTTCCATAGTCCTCACAGCCTGGTCAGCCAGTTTCTCTTCATAATCTTCCCAAAGAAGGTCATTATTCTATGGGATAGAAGCAGAGGGTGTTGAGCGCTCAACTTCTCAACCACCTACCCAACTGCTAACTGCGAAAAACCTTTCCTGCAGCGCTGTATTTAGAGTATCATGTTGGATTCTGTGCCAGAGACAAAGGAAGAAAACAACTGCTGGCCCAAGGAACCCCTCCCTAAGAGGCTGGATGTTTGTTTAGTAATGAAGAACAGCAACATACAGCCCTGCGTTCTTCAGCTTGGGGGCAGGAAAGTCTGGGAAAAAACGCATGGAGAGTTTTAAAACACAACACATCTGCAGGAAGTAAAAACTTCTGCACAATATTAAAGAACAAAATGTTCAAAACCAGAGTTCCCAGACTAGAGAAAATCTGTCTCTACCTGAGCAGCTGCAGGTTCTTCCTACTACCCAGCGACTGAGGTTACACACGGTCAACTGCAGACAGCCTCAACTGTCTTGCGATCTTCTGGAACGCAGAAGCTAAGCCGTGCTGGAGGTGAGAACAGGCCTGAGTGCCCAAGAGCTCTGGAGCCCAGGCTGCCCTTACCCCCACGATGGCCTTCAGCTCCTCGTGGCCGTCCCACTCGCTGCTGTAGATCTCCTGCAGGGTTTCGGACACTCTCTTGGAACTTTCCCGCATCACTGAAAGGAGACAATTCATCATGGTTCCCAAAAAGTAGCTTGGTGTAATCGCCTGAGTGCCAAATCAGTGGCCATCACAACAGGTTACAGTTATCAGTGAGGGAAGCTGCATGAAAGCGGGACAGACACGGCCACTTTCTTGGCCACACACTCCCAAGGAGGAACCCCAAGGGCAGACACGCTCCTTTTCCCCACCGCCTAGAGCTCTCTGCAGCAGCACCTACCTTTGACCGCGCTGAGGAAGCTCTTCAGGTCCTTGTAGAGCTTGTGGCCTTCTGCCTGAAAGGGATGAGGCTTTGGTAACTTCAGGGAAACATTTCAGGACATGGCTCCAGAGGTGAGACTCAAAATGTATATTAAAGCGCAATTCCCGGAATTTCCTCAAATATTCACAATTGTTATAAATTAGTTTTCAGTTTGCTTTTTCTTTTTATTTTTTTGAACGATTTAGTTATTGGATCTGTTGTGATGGCTCAATAGCTAAATCCTCACCTTGTCAGCACCAGGATCCCATATGGATGCCAGTTCGTGTCCTGGCTGCTCCACTTTCCATCTAGCTCCCAGCTTGGGGCATAGGAAAGCAGGGGAGCAAGGCCCAAAGCCTTGGGATCCTGCACCTGCATGGGAGATCCCAAGGAAACTCCTGGCTGCTGGCTTTGGATTGGCTCAGCTTTGGTCACTGTAGCCATCTGGGGAGAGAACCAGCTGATGAAAGATCTTTTTCTCTGTTTTGCCTTCTCTCCATAAATCTGATCTACCTTTCCAATCAAAATAAAACCTCCTGCCAGACAGAACTGCTCCCTTTCAAAACAGCTCTTGTGGATCCTTGGCCTACCAGTCTGAAGTTGGCTCTTTTCCTGTAGAATACACCTCCTCCCTCTTCCATAAAAGTTTAGAGACGGGCCCAGCACCATGACTCAATTAGCTAAATCCTCACCTTGCAGCACTGGGATCCCATATTGGAGCTGGTTTGTATCCTGGCTGTTTTACTTCCTATCTAGCTCCATGCTTAAGACCTTGGAAAGCAGTCGAGGACGGCCCAAAGCCTTGAGACCCTGCACCCACTTGGGAGACTGGAGGAAGTTCCTGGCTTCTGCCTTCAGATTAGCTCAATTCCAGCTGTTGTAGCCACTTGGGGAATGACCCAGGGCAAGATCTTTCTGTCTCTTCTGCTCTTCATAAATCTGATCTGCCTTCCAATAAAAATGAATACATCTTAAAAAAAAAAAAAGGCTTGAAGACCACTTCCACAAGGCCTTCAGCAAGTCTTTCTTCCCCACAGGATTCCTCAATTGCTCCTCACGGTGTTGTTTAAAGCTCCTTCTCACTGTAACTTCTCCTATCTGTAAAGATCCATTTCTAGGAGATCAGTGGAAAGAAAGCTTAAGACCACTGGTCTGAAAGGTGCAGCTCCAAGGTACTCTTCAGGGACAGCCCATGGGTTAAGCGCTGACTGGGGCCCCTGGGTTGATAGCGGGTGGCTGTTGCCCATCCCCGGGTACTGGAGTGGTAGGGAGGATGGGTATGGCTTTTCCCTTTATCTCCCTCTCCCCAGACACAGGAAGAAGAAACAGAAAATTTGAAAACAATCATCACATCTACTCTTCCCTAAACCTCGATCCTTCCCACCCTGATCAGCTACGTAAACATCATCAAAAATTTAAAAAAACATTTTAAAATGAAGTGATGGTATGTTGAAAGCCAATGTACATTATACAGAATACCATAAATACTTGTCATGAACTTGTTAATGTTATTTAATGGGCTCACTGCTAGACAGCCATACCAAAAATATTTTTTAAATATATAGGAAAGAAAAAAAAAATCCATCCTAATGATCTAACTGTATTCCCAATGGAATTCTTTGGGAAAAGATCATTTTTCATTTCAGCAGCAAAAAACACAATTTACTCAAATAAAAACAGAAAGTTAAACTGGTTATTTTACCCATCTTCTTGCCTCCAGCACCCATTTCTAAGCCAGTCCAAGCTTTTGGCCATACTTCAAGTTAAAACTCCACCTTGGCAGGAATTGTGTAAAATGCCAGCGTCTCACACCAGAGTGCCCAGATCTGAAACACCTCGATGTAGCTCCTGGCTCCGGCTGGCCTAGTCCCAGCCACAGCAGCCATTTGAGGTAATGAATTAGTAGACAGAAGATTCTCCTTAACTCTCAAATAAACAGAAGAAATATATATATATTTTAAGATTTATTTATTTTTATTGCAAAGTCAGATATACAGAGAGGAAGAGAGACAGAGAGGAAGATCTTCCATCCATTGATTCACTCCAAGAGTGATGGCAACAGCCGATGCTGCGCCGATCCAGAACCAGGAGCCAGGAACTTCCTCCAGGTCTCCCACACAGGTGCAGGGTCCCAAGGCTTTGGGCCGTCCTCTACTGCTTTCCCAGACCACAAGCAGGGAGCTGGATGGGAAGTGGAGCTGCCGGGATTAGAACCAGCGCCCATATGAGATCCTGGGGCATTCAAGGCGAGGACCTTGGCTGCTAGGACATGGCGCCGGGCCCCAGAAGGAATCTTAAAAAGAAATCTCAAGTACTTGGCTTCTGCTCTAGCTTCCTGTTAAAGTATGGGAAGGCATTGGACAAGGCCCCCAGTACTCAGACCCTTACTATCCATGTGGGAGAACAGGATGGAATTCCTGGCTCCTGGCTTTGTCTGCTCCAGTGCTGGCTGTTGCAGCCACCTTGGAGTGAAGCAGCAGATGGAGGTCTCTAGCTTTCTGTCTCCCTCTCCGTCTTCTACATAAATCTTTAAAACAAATAAACAAGGGGAACCATGCTCCTTAGTCACGCTCCTCTGAGGAGATGAAGAATGGTACGTGTGTGGAGATGGGGGCAGTGATAGAGAGGAATGGGACATCGCAGGATATCATTTTATTTTTCTCATTGCTGCATGCTCCCTACAATGGCTCCAGGCTGAATAATCTTAGTTATCTTTCTTCTTTCCTGAAATTTGACTCTCACAGTCTCAGGCTCTCACTTGTCTAGGAGAAACTTGGCTCCATCCACAACTCGCAAGTTAATCCACCTCTCCTGCTTCAGTTTCTTCATCTACAAATGCGGGGTAAGGCTGTTTCTGGCTTTAAATCTTAAGATTTTTATCACTTCTGCTCTCTGAATCCTTGCCAAAATCTTGGCACTGCCATTAAGAGTCTGAGTCAGTTCTCCCACCCATTATGCAAACAGTCCAGCCCTCAGTTAATGAACCACTCACTGTGGAAGCTTGTCCTAAGCACACAGTTAGTCAGAGCCAGGTCCTGGGAGACTGGTGTGCCTAGGATGGAGAAGGTGTCTGTCCTGGGCTTTATAATTGCTAGTGAAAAACAGACTCCGAGAAACCCAGACACAGCAAAACAAGGATCAACAGCATGACCTGAGCAAGTGCTCAAAGCAGTAGGCCATCTATGGAGACCCAGGTGGGAAAGATGGAGTCACATCAGACCTGATTATAAAGACAATGAACTGGAACTGCCAGAAATAAAAGGCTAATGTCCTGCTTGACAATTGTTCTTGTATGTTTTTTAAAGACTTATTTATTTTTATTGGAAAGGCAGATCCACAGAGAAGGAGAGACAGAAAAAAAAAGATCTCTGGTTCACTCCCTAAATGGCTGCAAAGGCCAGAGCTGAGCTGATCTGAAGCCAGAAGTTAAGAGCCTCTTCCAGGTCTCCCATGCAGCTACAGGGTCCCAAGGCTTTGGGCCATCTTCCACTGCTTTCCCAGGCCATAAACACAAGATGGATAGGAAGTGGAGCACCAGGGATATGAACTGATACCCATATGGAATGCTGGCGCTTGCAGGTGAGGTTTTAGTCACTAGGCTATCAAGCTGGACCCAAGAATAATTTTTATTTGAAAGGCAGAGTTACACAGAGAGTGAGAGAAGGAGACAAAGATCTTCCATCCACTGGTTCACTGTCTAAATGGCCACAATAGCTAGAGGGGTTAGTCCTAAGCTAGAAGCCAGGAGCTTCCTCCAGGTCTCCCAAATGGGTGCAGAATCCCAAAGTTCTTGGGCCGTCCTCTGCTGCTTTCCCCAGCTACAGCAAGGAGCTGGATCAGAAGACATGAACCAGCACCTACACGGGTTGCTGGAACCATACAGTGGTTGTGATAATGTGCCTCTGCTTGTGTTAACTGACACTGGTCTGAGTGCCAGCTTCTCCATTTCTGATCCAGCTCACTGCTGATGCTTCTGGGAAAGCAGAGGTCAATGACCCCTATGCCTGGGTCACTGCACCCACATGGGAAATTCAGAAGAAGCTCCTGGCTCCTGATCATCCTTGTCCAGACTCAGCTGTTATAGATACCTGGAGAGTGAGCCAGTGGATGAAGATTCTCTCTTTTTAACTCTGCCTTTCAAATAAACAAATAAATAGATAAATAATCTTTTAAAAAATGGTGGGGGGGGGGCAGTGTAACAGCCTAATGGCTAAATCCTCACTTTGCATGCACCAAGATCCCACATGGGCGCTGGTTCATGTCCCAGTTGCTCCCCTCACTTCCAGCTCCTGACTTGTGGCCTGGGAAAGCAGTAGAGGATGGTCCAAAGCCTTAGGACCCAGCACCCACGTGGAAGACTTGGAAGAAGTCCCTGGCTCCTGGTTTCAGATTGGCTCATCTCCAGCCGTTGTGGCCACTTGGAGAGTGAACAGCAGATTGAAGATCTTTCTGTCTTTCTCTCCTCCTCTCTGTAAACCTTCCTTTCCAATAAAAATAAATAAATCTTAAAAAAAAAAAAAACTGGGAGGGGGCCTGCTGTTGTGGTTTAATGGGTAAAGTTACTTCCCATGACACCATCAACCAATACAGGTGTCAATCCCAGTTCCAGGAACTCCACTTCCAATCCAGCTCTATGTTAAAGGTCTGGGAAACGCAGTGGAAGATGCATTTGGGCCCCTGCACTACATAGGAGACCTGGATGAAGCTCCTGGATTCTGCCATACCCAGCTCCAATCACTGTGGCCCTCTTTGCAGTGAATCAGCAGATAGAATCTCTCTCTCTCTCTCTGTAACTCTTTAAAATCAATTTTAAAATATTCATTTATTTGAAGGGCAGACGGAGATCTTCTATACTTTGGTTCACTGTCCAAATGGCTACAACAGCCAGGCCTGGGATAGGCCAATGCCAGCAGCCAAAAATTCCCAAGCTCCTGAGCCATTACCCGCTGCCTCCCAGGGTGCACATCAGCAGGACGCTGCATCAGAAGCAGAGCTGAGACGTACTAGCTGAGAAGCGAGTGTCTGAAGCAGTGT